TTTAATCTTATCTTAAAAAAAAGAGGTAAAGAAAAAAAGCTTACTGAGTTCCAAAAAGGCGCTATTCTTTATAAACATCAACTTGGTCATTCATGCAGAAAAATTGCAGGAATTGATCCTTTAGTTAGTTCTGTAACTGGTTTGAAACTATACGCAAGCATGTTGTTCCTACCATGAAGCATTTTTTCAAAATAGGGATGGTTTTTTTCAAGAGAACAATACTCCTTGTTACAAAAGTAAAATTGTTGCGGAATTTTATGCAAAAAAGTATCTGAAACCTTAAATAGCCTGCCCAAAGTCTTGACCTTAACCCGATCAAGAATTTATGGGACGAAATTAAAAAAACTTCAAAGCCAATAAGTAAAACCCACTAACTTTTTCTCACTTGAATGACAATTATATGAAAGGCTTGGAAATCAATTACTTCTGAAAAAATCAAAAATTTAGTCAAAAGTATGCCTCAACGAATTCAGGCATAATTGATGCAAATGGTAGGTCAGACCAAGTATTAAACCCTTAATAGAAATTGTATTTTAATAGTCTAGAAACATTATTTATTATTTGTAAATTGCTTAATTGCTTAATGAAAATTCATACGAAAAAAGTGTGCGTAAACTTTTGGAGACCCTCTGTACATTTAAAGAAGAATAAATTATAAATGAATAAGGATTAAGTTTTAGAGATAAATGTTATTTTTTTATTAGAGATTGGTAACGATTCTGTCATTATTTAGGGCAAAGATACAGAGTATTTATATAAAAATAACTAATAAGAATAAAATATATCCTATTTAATATACATGATAAATATGAATAACATAATATATAGAATAAATATATCTAATATGAACTAACTAATTAATATAACAAATATATTAAATATGTCACTTTGTCATATTCGTCAGATTTGTTAACCAAATTAAATCACATGATTGGCTATTGTAGATCGGCGCAGCATAGATCACGCGACTTCCCCTGCCCATCAAAGAATGTCACGTCGGTCGCATTAAGATTTTTGCAGGCCCATATTCATATTGCCGATCCTTAATGCTGGCCGTTTTGTTAATGGGTACGCAGGTGTAGTAACATGTATTGGAGTCTTGCAAGTTCTGGCGTCGGAACAGAAATAATGGTGTCGTAATTACATGATGCATTTGGCAATTGAATTTTTACAATTACAAGCTATATTCACTTTTAAATACGATTATAGATATATTCTGCGCGCCTCAAATCTTCCAACAGTTTGAAATTGCTTCATTTTTGTCCATAAGTGTTGTAAATGAAAATTTCTATTTTTTAGAGTTCTGCATTTTGTCACAATTCTCATCAACTTTTTGTGAGCTATTCAAGGAAAGATCAATTTACACAGTCTCGGTAGAAATTGTAACTGTCGGATGGTGTCTGCATCCATATACATGATTACTCAACGGCTAGCTCTTTCTTCTTTATATAGAGTTTTCTGTTGTCATTAAATTTATTGAGATCTTTATTTAAGAAATATATAACGAGATTCTTCCATCAGACTCTTTATCCACTCAGTTTGAACTATATATAATTTTTGAGATCGTCATCCGATTTGGATTGAAATCCTGCTTGATGCTTGAGCTTGTGATCTTTTATTTAATTACCTCTGTATCGGCACAATAGGTACCGAGAAACAACAATTGTGATCTCGTCATCATCAACTGCACATTAGCGGGTCTAACTTATCATGCAAATAAAGTTAATGCAATGCATATTGAGTTGAAAAATTGTCTTCTTATTGATATCTTGTTTGTGCCTATATAAAATTTAGACAAGTGTTAAAATAGATATTTAAGATTATATATAGTCCTATCAACTTGATTTATCTCTGAATCAAATCTTAATAAAGACTACTATATTTATAGGCAAGAGCTGCATCATCAAAATTCTTCGTCTTTACAAAATATCCACCTGTTTCATTCAACAAAGTGCGATTCAGCATATAATTTACTAGCATGTTTATATTCTGAATGTTTTGGAATTTTGTAATTATCACGTGAAACTTTAAATGAATTGATATGTTATAAATTAATAAAGGCTTTGAGAAGACATGATGTGAAAAGAAAATAATCGTTTAAATCTAAAAAAAAACGAACCTAACCAGTCTACTGTATCAAAGTGATAATTCTGTGTCTTCATCTTCTCGTATCATATAACAAACCATAAATATCATCACGATTCTGACCGAATGCTGAGTAATTCCTAGTGAAAATAGTCCAGTATTCTTCTTGATAGTAGTTTCCATCGATTTCGAACTCTTCAGATTATTTTAAAAACCTCATAAACGTCAAAACCGAGATGTATATGATAATTTATAGTTACATACTTTGATAATAGAGAATCTAAGCAGACCAGTCCGTAATCCAAACTATTTCTGTATAATGACCGAAATAATACCAATCTCTTTTTCGAAGAGATAAAAGTCAACAAAAGTAGCTCACAAAGCTTTTAAAGGGAGTTATTATCATCTACCTCGTTCTCTTGAGGACAATTTCGAGAATTAATACCAAAAGGTCACTCGTTGCATTTCAAAAATTTTTCGTAAGTAACAAATAATGGGAGTGATAGCCGTTAGCAGACGGAATGAATTCGGTATTTTACACATATTTTTCTTCTCCTCGTCTTCCTGATGCATGTTATTGCCGTATTCCTTTTTCCACTCAACAAACTGAGCCTTTGTAATCTTCTCTTCAGCAAGATCTGACGATTTTGCAATTGGTTTGTAGTATTTTTTACTCGCAAGGTAAAATGTAATAAATATTTGTCTTTTGAAATTGCTCATCATTGACACGCGCGCGAATATGGCGTCTTGTAAAGTTGGCTTTTCAGATATAAATCGAGCTGTCTAAATATCATACACGAGGCTTACCGGTTTTATTAAGAGGTAACTCTGTTTGGATTTCTTTAAAATTTTCATTATGCAGCATTTCCCGTAATTCATCGATTGTGCTTTCGTTGAGCAAAGTCTCCCACGGTCCAAGTTTGTTTGAATCAATGGTAGGTGACATGCCTCACTTTCGAATCCTTGCTATTTTTCATCATTATGTAATGAATTTTTGTAATGTTTTAATACCCGAATTATATAAGCTCTTTTTTTATTAAAAAAAAAGCAACCGAAAAATAGACAATCATAATTGGAAAAACTTTTGTCACTTTCGAAATTTGACTGCGTCCAAAATTGGATCGCAGCGGCAGCATTGACGATCCACTCTGACATATTGACATTTCGGACTTTTCTGTAAGTTGGGATGATGGAAAATATATGTCAAAATGACCGTTTTTGACATTGGGAAAGATTAATAAGCATTTCCGTCATCCAAGCCGAAAGAATTAATAATTCTGCCAAGAATTCCATAACCAAGCCCCAGAAGGAAATAGTTTTATAAAAAGAGGACTTTTCGCTTTGGATTTTTAGATAGAATTAGTTAGTTCTATATTCTCTAAAGGCTTATTACAGAGCGCCGGCAGAGTTGCATTTATTATATTATTTCAATATATATTTAATAAATTTATTTCCATTTATTTCCTTTAATAAAAACTTTATTTATTTATTATTAAATTGATTTACGCTCTAATAAATTATAAAATAGCCTCTTTACGAATTTAGGAGGTGACACTAGCATTTTAAAATATGTGGTCTGCCGCCTAATTAAAAAAACAAAAAAATTACATTAATGATGAATATTGTGCATAATGTAGTGAATCGAGACGAAATCCTATTTGCATCTCAAAATAAAGTATGTAAATTACATAATAAGAAATGACATTGACTTATTTAGTAATAAAGGAATGCAATCCTCCTCTGACCTTCAAAATTAGGGCGGATCAATAAAGAACTTTTGGGTCAAGTCCTTAGCAAATTAAAAGAACTTCTTTAATCTGCAAAAGTAACCTGGTTCAACTACAATTGAATCATCCAACATTGCCAAGACCAGGAAATATCATGTCTTTCCCATTGCTTTTAGATGAGGTAATTACATCGCGGCATTTCATAAATCCGTGATTTGACCAGGTTCTACTATTATTTTTTAAGTAGGAGATAAGTTCTAGAAATTCAAAAAGATTATAGCTGAGAATTTAGCGAGTGAAGATCAAACTTGTAGCGTAATTATGTTCGCTCACTTAAGAAGAATCGAGAATTATAGAAAATACTTTTTTTTTGCGCAAATGATGATCTCATTTTTTTTCGCGTATGAATTTATCGTATTATTAGCTATATATTTGCTTATTTTTTTTTTTGTTGACGACGACCAGTCGTATCTGATGAAAATATGATAAATTACATATTACGTTCATTCTTTTTTGAACTCACGTGATGGTCGCGTGTCAGATTTTATTATGATAAATTATTTGATCGACGCAACACTTTTTATTATTTTTTTTTTTTAACAGCTCTCTCACAATCCAAAATATTTCTTTTATCCTAATTATTTGCGTGGAGATATTAAATAACTTTATTTGACAGTTCTTCGTAGCTATGTAACTAAACCTTACCCGGAAAAAATTCAAACGAAGAAACAATAAAAATACTCGCGCCGTATGTGAAAATTTAGGATGGAATGCAAAGTGCTTGAAGCCAACAATTTTTGCGAGTTTTGCGAGACAGAATATTTGGAAAAGAATTTATAAACAAGGTGAATATATTCTTTTACTTAATGGGAGGGCGACTCTTGACGAGTAAATCCCGGAATAAGTAGGGTAAAATCTCCGTATCAGATATATTTCTCGAAATTGAATATTTCAGAATGTTGATGACAAATGATTTTTTCTAATGAACCATACAGAACTTTGAGACATAATTTTTTTAGTTTGCGTTATTATTTTATCTAATGATAAAAAATTTTAATATTTATATATTCCGTAATTGACCAATTTTTTTCTTTTTCTATTTTTTTTAATACTGACGCTTTTATCAATTTTTTATTATACTAATTTCATAACAGATCACTTACCAAAGGGCGATAATTTATCGAGAAAATGAAGAAAAAGAGAAAAGATACAGAAGAAAGACATGCCGGACTTGTTAAAAAATTATAAGAACCTGAAATCGCCCAAATAAATATGGCAGAAATAGTTGCTTATAAAAGTACCCATCGGCAGCAACATCCTTCTCCTAATCCATTAACATACATTATCCCAATTTTAATTTTAATTTTCATATTTTGGTGGTGGATTTCCCAATGTAATTAATGTTTAATTATAAATTTGTTGTAAAAATTTATTACTATTATTAAATCTAATAAATTTTTTTCTTTTATAGTGTGATGAACGTCATTGGAATGAATACCACAAAAAGAAAATTGAAGAAATTAAAAGGCTTCCTCATGAAATTCAGGAAACCGAAAGGTTTACTAAACCTTTGCAGGAAAGATATGATCTTAAAAGCGATGATATTTCTCAAGAAAATATAATTCAACAAGGCTTACAACAAACCTTCGATAAATCAAAAGAGGGTGCAAATAGAAAGATGGATTTATTATTTCGTGGATGAATATTTTTATCATATGGGTAGTGTGCTATTAAAATTGAGGTACGGATCATACGATTTACTATGTCTTGTACCTCATTTTTAATAGCATACCACCCATATAATGATTACCATTACTATTGCTTTATATTTTTTATATTTGATTATTTGGAGGCTGTTTTTTTAATTAAAAATTTATTATTTTTTTTTAATAATATTCAAAAAGCTTATTCTAACTCTTGTAACGCTAATAAAAATGCGTATATATCGTATATAGCGCCGACGATTGAGGCAGTACCTTATTTACGTAGTTTGTGTTATTATTTTATTATTGTTAATAAAATCCAAATCCTTCTGCTTACCTCTACTATCGTTTTCAATATAAAAACATAAAGAACTGCGCGTAAAAATATCATTATCGTTGTAATTGGAGAGTTCATAAAATAAACCAAATCTCTTAAACTAATTGAGCTTTAAAGAATCTATTGTTTTATAATGAGGAATCAATAATATCATAAAATTATTAAATAACATTCTACCGTATGTCGATTGATAAAGTTGTGCGAGTAACAATACAATATAGAAATAGTAAGAAAATTATCCACGGTTTGTAGAATTAATTGAATAAGTAAAACCGAAATTGTTAGAAACGGAGAACATACTAACAGTCTAGATTCCTTGTTAATCATAAAGAAAGTATTTCCAGGTCAGAATATAGTGGTACATTCTTAAGGGTAGCGGTAGCATAGTTTGTAACGTTTGATTCTTCTTATCAGCAGATATTATCTGGTATCTTTCTTCGAGTCTAAGCATATTCTTCATTTGGAAGCCCTACGCATTAATATTAATATTAATGGTAATGGCGTTCTTTGAGGAATAAATATATTTATATATATATATATATATATTATTTTATTTTTAACAAATTTATATATTATAATACAATATATTAATTATAACATTACCTTATTTTATTTATAAAAAAATATCTTAAAACAAAAGATAAAAGAATAAAAGAATAAAAAATTAAAAAATTAATTTAATTTAGAGTAGCTCGACACATTAACTTACGCTAATTTCCACTTATTGATTAAGTTATATGTTACAAGAAAAAAATTTAAGTGTCAAAGTGGTGCATTAGTCACATTATATTCAGTTTGCCAAAACACTTGATATAACATGTTTGTCCATTCTCAATACAAATTTACATCGACCCGATTAAAAATTTTTTTAAAAATATTCTTCATTAAATTCAACTGTACTAATAACTTGTAACAGTAGTAAACTCATGGATGAAAATAAAGTATGGTATTATTTATCCGCAGTATTTTAAATGTCACGTGGGTTTTCTGTTTTCTTTGGGAAAACATTTTGCATCCTGATAAATAATTTCGCTTCTTCTTCGGATGGATTATTATATAAAGTTATAATGATGAAATGATTTGATTCATTTATTTGATTTATTTACCAATTAACGAAATCATAATTTTGCATTATGGAAGTTATCTTTGTGCGTTTCATCTAGACAATGTTTTCGTATAAAATATTGAACTTAAATAACGTAGGACTTTTTACTAATTTTAACAATGAATGAGGGCCGATTATTATTAACAATTTAAATATACAATTTTATTTTTATTTTTTTTATTTTTTTATTTATTTTTATTAAATACAAATAAAGTAAATCCTTTACTGGATATCCAAGAATATAAGACACCCTACCCTGATCGCAAAATATTCTAAAAAAAAAAAATATTTTCAATTTAACAATCAAAAAAAATTTTTTTTTTTTTAAGTTGAACCCGAAGAACCAAGAGACAGAGAAAATAAAATAAATTAATTAATCAAATTAGGAAACAAAAAGAAGGAAGAAAGTAAACCCGACTTTCTAAAGGATCTGTAACCATAAATAAGCATCAATTTAATCACGGAAGGACTCCTGAAAATACTGATTAAAGCTAATAAAATATGCATGTGACACAAAATTGTAACGCCAATGATACTTATTAAACAGTATAAATTATTCCCAGGTTGATTTGGCGATGTTTGAACAAGATGTTCTCTTGATTTTAAATATTCATCTTTCACTTTACCCCAGTGCCATAGTAATTTACTTCCATCTAACAATTTCATGTACATTGGATAATTGAAAAAAGGTTTTGGAAATGATGAATGAAATTTGGAAATTTTCTATCTTGTTCAATGAAAAATAAAAAGTACGTATCTAGTAAAGTGCATTCCCCTCGATTTTCAACTAATAAAGGATTTGTCAAAGCAAGTTCTACACAAAAATCGAGCATGAAAAAAGTAAATTTAAATCTCTTGCACGATCTAAGATGTTATCTCGGGTAAATCTCCGAAACTTTTTTATCATGCCATGATAAGAAAGATGAGAAAAAAAGAAAAAGAAAATTAAATGATAAAATAGAGGAAAGATAAATGAAAGAAAGAAAGATAAATTCTTACATGAAAACGATAATAAGATTTCGTGGATAAATGAAATTTTATTGAGTCTGCGGAAAGAAACAATCAATTGGTGTTTGTAGGAAATAGACTTTTACAGCATTAAATAAAAACTACCTTTATCTCCTTATAATCTTCTATAATGAAACTTAAAACCTTAAAATTGAATCTATCGATTCGTGCGTAGCGTTTGATATGTTAAGAAGGTTCAAGTGCTGCTGTTAATTATACGTTAAACATCATTCAGTGGATTTGAACAACCCGCACAACGTAAACATTTCATCTCAGACATGTTATAAAAAAATGCGACCGTCATTTTTAAATTATTCATTCAAACTTTATAATGAATAATTCAATTAATAATTAAGTTCTTCAATTTCTGATATGAATTTTATGTTTCCGAAAAATGTCGGACATTTATTTGATCCAAAGACTTGAAAATCTTCTTGGATCTCAAATTTCGATAAAGAACATCATCTTTTAAAGGTACTACTTTACTATTTACCGTAGGTATCTAGCAATGGAACTTGAGGTAGGAAATTAAAGATAAGTCTATAAAATAGAAATAAGACACAGCTTACCTTATGCTGATTTTTGATACCGCCGAATATCTTTTTTTGAGGAAACCAATTTTTATTCCAAAATAAAAATCTATTTAATGAAAAAAAAAATTTTTTAAAAAAATTTTTAATAAAACGTGACTAAAACATTATTTCTATTTTTATTTTTCAAGTTTATGAGCTTTTGATATTTGTCCGTGTGAATTTCTAAATTGGGAAGAATTACGAAAATTGATCAAATACCACAATTACCGACTTGTTTTGATTCAAAATAAAAAAAAATGTTACATATAATTTATATTAAAAACAAATTGCAGCGTTGTACAGTACAAAGTAACAAATATGGGCGTGTGTCAATTTAAAATAAAGATGAAAGGGATTAAAAAGAAATAAGTTTGTACAATTAAAAAACTGCCTCAATCGGCAATCTGTAAACTAAGGAGAACTATCTAATTCAATTCTATTCAATCCTATGATCAAAATAAAGCTCAATCCTCATAGCTTTGTACGGTATTCCTTAAAAATATCAATTAAATTACGGCTGAAGGACGGATAGACAATTTAATTGATCTCTGATGTCAAAAATGGCCAATTTGACAAATATTTTCCAAAATAACCGGGTATTGTTACATTTATTATATTTTATTGTTTTATGTTTACAATTATAACAAAATTAATAAAAAAATGTTAGCGATAACATTTACAAATATAGCTTTGTCCCCGGGCCAATATATCCCACCGGCCAAAAAATTTCACTGGCCAAAATTGTTTCGTGGCCAAAATTCCACCTGGCTAATATTGTATTGTTCTCTGGTCAATTTTGTCTTCTGGACAATAATGTCCTTTATTTTTTGGGGTATATATTGACGGGATTTTCTTCCTTAACATTCTTTTAGAATTATTCCCCTTTCCATTTACATTTATTGTAATATATAATTAATGAACATACCTGATTGTATAGAGTGTCGACGTTGAAGGCAATACTTTATCTATATTGTTTTATGTTAGAATCTCCGATTATTATTAATAAAATTAATAAAATTAAAACACGAAACCTTCTGCTCTGCTTTATTATCGTTTATAAATAACTAAAGAACTTCTATTAACAGTTTTAAATTATAAAAGTTTTTGTAGGGTATTACCTTGTGGTTATACAATTTTTTAAAAAATTACCAAATGCGATTGGTATAAAGCATACACATAAAGTAACGTTTCATTCGTTACAAATTTTATGTTGTGAAATATGTTTGATGTAGTCAACTCGCGATATGATTTATCAAAGATGGGATATGAATGTATCTAAACGGATATGTGCTTTATTTTATCTTAATTCATATTTTTTAAAAATTTTTTACTACGATACACAAGTAAAAAAGTAGATGTTAGGCACAAATTCTCTTGAATTGTGGCAAATTCAATTTTTAATCTTATTGCGAAATTTAATGTTATATAACGAGTTTACAAATTATATAAGTCGGATTAAATAAAATAAAAATCATATTCTTCAATAAAAAAAAATAAAAATAAAAATAAAAAACACTCAAGCAAAGTATGATTGATATCTTCTTCTGCTTCTTCTGCGATACCGCGGTACAACTATTCGAACAATATGTGGATACATTCATTTTACAAAAACTATAATTTTTCTACAAAGGAGGAAATATGGCAATTCCGTTTTACCTTGCAATTCCATGTAGAATACCACTGCATGTGATGTAGTTTTAAAGATGAATTTAGGGAGTTCTTCATATTGTTATGCAAATTATTTTGCATGCCACACAAATTATATTATGTGCATTTTGTTTTCGCATAAATTATATTACGTACATTGTGTTTAAGCACATAATCATAAAATTTTATTGAATAAAAATGTGTATTTTCGACTTCTAAATCTCCAATTTTTTTTTTTTTAAAAAAAAAAAATTGCCTTGTAATTAAAATGGCCAAACATCTAAAAATAAATCTATTTATACAAAATAAAACTTCCATCAAACAATATTCAAAAAACTTTAACAAAAGTCGTCTAAAAAAGACTACATTTCTGCGGAATACCGTTTAAAATGGTCGAACGTGGAAGACTTCACCGAATATCTACATAGGTCTCGATGAACGTCTTCCAAACGCGGGGTTTAATGCCCTTTCCCGGTCTAACACGGGATTTTTTGGTTTTGGGCCGATTCAATGAAGCAATTAAATGGCTTTTCGCCCCAAGCTTTCGGGTTTTCAAGTCGTGAAGAAGCCCAAAACAATTAAATAACCTTTCATTTCGTTCAAAACTATCGGCTTTTCAAAGTCGTGGAGAAGCCGAAGTAATTATCATTAAGAACTGAACATGTCTATTAATTTTAAATGTATTAATTATAATAGTTATATTTATATTTTATTATTACAGTAATTATCATTATACTGTATTTATTTATCACGTCGTCTTTTATAGATAATTGAATTTTATATCTGTCCTGAATTTTTCTCGTGATACCATAATAAAAAAAATTTTCTTTTATTTTTTCATTTTTTTTTTACTTGTTTAAAGAACATATTAAATATTTTCTTTGCCAGCTTTCTTTGAATAAACGTCATTCATGAATAATGTGAACGTAATTAATTTTCACATAATTTTCTGGAACGTCGTATATTCTTTTATTAAATACGCATTTTAAGATAATTTGTGAAATAATAGTATCGGTATTGTCGGAAGAAAGATTTGGAGTTCCTTATGATTGATTACTGAATTTCATGTTTAGAAAGAACTCGCTTTCAAGTCGGTTGGCAATGATAACTATCGTGAACGAACAATACAATTAAACCGTACTTGATTAAAATACACCCAATGAGCCCAAAGTCTTTTCA